TTTTTTTTTGAGACAGAGTCTTGCTCTGTCACCCAGACTGGAGTGCAGTGGCACAATCTCAGATCACTGCAACCTCTGCCTCCCAGGTTTAAGCAATTCTTCTGCCTCAGCCTCCTGAGTAGCTGGGAGTACAGGCATGTCCCACCATGCCCAGCTAATTTTTGTCTTTTTAGTAGAGACAGGGTTTCATCAAACTGGCCAGACTGATCTTGAAATCCTGATCTCAAGTAATCCGCCTGCCTCGGCCTCCCAGAGTGCTGGGATTACAGGTGTGAGCCACCGTGCCTGGCCTCCCTTTCACTTGTAAGGACCCTTGTGATTGCACTGAAAACACTCAGATAATCCAGGATAATTTCCCTAATTTAAGGTCAGCTGATTAGCAACCTTAATTCCATCTACAACCTTAATTTCCCCATTACCATGTAAGATAACATATGCACAGGTTCCAGGGATTAGGACATGGATATCTTTGGGGGCCATTATTCTGCCTACCACATATAACTTATCCGGAGAGCAATTTGATAATGTCTATCAAACTGTTTAATTTGACTCAGCAATTCCACTGCTAGGAATTTATCCCATGGGTATACTTTCACAAAAATATATGGTGCACAATTATTTCTATTTGAAAAAATACTGGAAACCAACTAAGTGTTCATTAGGTAGGATCAGATTAAATCAGTTATGTTTTAGCCATATGATGGAATATTATGCAGCATGGAAAAAGAATGAGGCAGACAGCTATACATTCTAACAGTAAATAGTCTATAAAATACAGAGTCAAGAAAATGGCATAAAAATGTATACACTGTGCTGCCATTTGGGAGAGAAGGAGAATATTATATCTACATATATGCTTAGAATATCCCTGAAAAGATATGCTAGAAGGTGCTAATAATGTGTTCCTCTGGGGAGGGACCTGGGATAGGGAGGCAGAGAGGAAGTTATTTTTTCATTGAATATCTTTAGGTACTTAAAAAATATATTTTTGCCAAGTACTTGCATTATTTAGTCCAAAAAGGAAACCGCATTAAAACAAGTAGAAAATGTAAAATAATAGAAAGGATTGGTCTGGGAATATAGAAAGGAGCAGGAACTGACTTCTTCAGCTTTTGGAGCTATATCCTATATACTGCATGCCATAAAAATATCCATGCAAGTGTGTCTGCCACTTCTGCTTCCAGTGCAAGGCTTCTTATCCTGTGATTCCTAGCTATCTCAGGGGTCTTAAACCTCCTGAAATGATAGGCAACATTTCCTACATGTGCATATATGCATCCAGGAAGAGTCTAGCTTTCATAATCTGAAAGAGGAAAGGTTAGTCAAGTCAGGTTTTATGGCACTGTTCAGTGCATGCTGAGTCCTCTTCCTGCCATTGGTTCCCCACCTGAGTTATCAGACAAGCCGACAGGTAAGAAAAGAGGGCCTGTTCTCTCCATCACATCCATACTCCCTTATTAGAGCAAAAGGGCAGCTGTATTTAATAATAAGTGATAAAAAAACAAAAAGACCCTCAAAGTCCTATTCTAAGCAATTTGTTTATGTCTGGACTCAACAGACTCATTTGTCAGGCCCTACAATCTTTTGAGCAGTGAATTATTCATTAGCAAGTATGAATAACACCAGCAGACTGAGTTTCCAAAGTGAGTTAGTCATTTGCATTTGTAAGAAATGCCTGAAAAGGAAGAAACACAAAAACGAAAAAACACCCAAGAACATGAAATGATCTGGATTATTTCAGTAGTAGTGCATTTCCAGGTCACTGATTTTTCATTTCTTTTAAAGCATGGGCCCAGTCTCAAGACCCAAGAAATAATTGTCTTATATTTGGCCTTCTCTAAAGTCTTTCTCTAAAATTTTCTGTAATAGTTTAGTTTTCTCAAACTCTGATATACAGAGAAGAAAGTTTTACCTTTCTCACTTTCGTATGTATAAGAAAGCTCAATGAACTACATTGAGTTCATTCTTTGGTTCTAACAAACTGCCTAAGGATGAAGTATAGCAGGGCGCAGAGGCTCACGCCTGTAATCCCAGCACTTTGGGAGGCCGAGGTGGGTGGATCACGAGGTCAGGAGATCGAGACCAACCTGGACAACACATGAAACCCTTCCTCTACTAAAAATGCAAAAATTAGCGGGGTGTGGTGGCACAGGCCTGTTCCACCTACTTGGGAGGCTGAGGCAGGAGAATCTCTTGAACCCAGGAGATAGAGGTT